AAGTGATCAGCTCATTCCACTCCAGAAGAAGTTACCAAAATGGAAGCGTGATAAGGTTATTGATTTAGTGATAAATCAATTCAAAAGAACTACCTCATGCCTAGACCTTCATGCCAGTATAGATAGGGAATATCTTAACCAAGTAGATTGCTACCTCATCCATGATATACAAATCTGCCCTATATGCAAAAAAGATCATTGCTATATGGAAGGCCACTGGTTGATCGATAGTGAAGGTAATAAAAAATAATATTTGATTTGTAATAATATCCAAGAACCCGGAATCCCACTTAATGAGATGTTAACATTATATTCTGAAAAAACAAGTCCGGATAACTGGAATCATCTTCTGAAAGTTCTAAATAGAGAAGTAACAGTGAAAGCGTAGGGAATAGCATGTTATGTGACATGATGTCACGTGATTTTTTCAGAGAAACTGATCTGCCAGATGTGACGTAAATCGTGATATTAGTGCGTAAATTTCGTCTTACTCAATAGTTTTGAGGAAAATTCTTCTCATTAGTTGGGGGTACTTTTTTCCTTGTACTTCTGTAAAGTAAAATCCCGGTCAAGATCACGCACTTTTTAAGGATCTATATAAATCAAAGGTTCACCTATTCTCTTTTATAATCGCGAAAAAGAATGTCATTTATCAGGCCTCATCTAAGGCAGAGAAGAACATGTGAAAAATATAAAGCTGAGCTAGAGGAGAAGAACTTTCATCTTTGAGATGCATTACAGACAGAGATAAAAAATAATCGCCTGAATGAGAAATGGTTTAATTAACTGGAGCGAGATTATTCCCAATGTGAACAAGAAATCCAAAATCTCAATAAAGACATAGAGCGTCTTGAGAATGCTTCAGAAGAAGATATAGCAGAGCTAAGATCTGAAATCTCCAGTCTAAAAAGTCAGCTATATCAAGCTAGAAAAGATGTGCGAGATAAGGAACAATATATCTCTACCTTAGAAGAGCAGTTAGTAGAATCTGAGAAGCAGGTAGAAAAATTGCGATGTCGAATCAGAACTATCTCATCAAGGAAAAATTCACCAGTACAAGGGAATTCTCCTGACCTGTATAATTCTGATGATAATATGGTCATAATCACAGAGCTAGCAAATGCTATAGATGGTTACGTGGAAAATAGGACAATGGCCAGGGATATTCTGATAGATCAAATAAAAAGGGCAACTAGGCAAATTCGTCAAAAAGAAAATAATCTGCATCAGGATATAGTCCGGAAGCAGAGAAGACGATATGATGCAGAAGCTAAGCGTAATAATGAAATTATATGAAGGCAACTTGCTAAAGGGGTAGAACAAAGGGCTATTGCTGATCTTCATCAATATTAAACTAATGCTCAAAATCAAATAAATAGAATGATAGGTAATATAGCAAGAAAGCAAACCCGTATAGGTGAACTGGTATAAGAAAAGTTTGCCTTACAACTACTATATCAGCAAAATGCTCACCACTTATAGCAAAGTAAAGGGGATATAGGTTTATTAGAGTATAATCGGGATAGACTTTATGAGCGATATGAGAAATGGAAAAATAAGACCCATGATGCTCGGCAGAATATTTTAAATTTGCAGGAACAAATTTTAGCGCTACAGAATAATCTACCAAATCAAATAAATATGGTAGGAATCCCACAACTATTTTTCGACTGGGATGATAGTATCCCAGATTTTCTTGCAAATTTAGGTTATATCTGCAAAATCAAGGTGTAGATCTAGCAGATAATGCCGGAGGTCCACCAACAGGAAGAGAAGTAGCTATAGGATATTTAAGAGGCTGTATGAGAGGAAGAGCCTTAAAATGGTTTGACAAAGAGGTTACTACAAAGCAGAATTGGGAATTAGCGAACTTACTTGATAATACAGGGCAGTCTAACTTGGTAGCTGTAAATGGACGAACAGCACTTCAGATAGGAAATCTAGCAGTGAATGAAGCTTTTGGCCAACCAGGAACTGCAATAATCAAATTGAGAGCTATAGAAGATCCTTGGAATGAAAACTGACGCATAGCTAGTGGTCATCCTAACAATATTGCCGTTAATGCACTAAATGCTAACAATGGTACTATGGTGGTTGTAAGCGGTATTCGTTTTGGTCAAGCCATATGGTGGCTAAAAACACATTTTCCTACAGTAAAAGAGGAACTTTGGGATTTGATGTATGAAACAATCAGAAAGGGGAATATGACTATAGATGAATTATATAGAAAATTATTACAAATAGGAAAACGAGCGAACTATAGACCTGAAGAATTACGTAGAAAGTTCTTAGATGCTCTTTCACTCCCATGGCTTGAAAAAGCTGAGGATATTGGGGAGCACTTGCCTTTAGATGAATTAGCTAAAAAGCTTTATGAAATAGAATTACGACGAATTGCTAGACATAAAAGAGATAGAATA